AGTATCTGGGGTTTTCTTATTCCCCATTGTTTTGGACAGCTGAAGAGTACATAGAGCCTAGGAGGAGGCCAGTAAATACTGGCTGAATGAATGCACCCCCCCCCCCCGGGGTCTGAAACCCCTCCAAGAAGATCAAATTGAGGGTGGAGGGGCAGCCTTATGGTAGCTGCATTGCCTACTACCACTTGTGGGTATTTCAGTTGAGATGTTGAAATAGATTAAAGTTAAAAAATACACTTCAGGTGCTCAGTGACCCCCCCCCCCAAGCATTGCTGACTACCATATCGGGCAGTACAAATGTTGAACGTTTCTGTCACTGTACAAAGTTATATTAGTGCTCATATAATATCAGTAGAGGTCTAAGTTTGTGGCCCCAATATTTTTAAAGTGAAACTCCCATGTGACCATAATGTAACCCCAACACAAAAAGCCCTTTTACAGCTCACCCCATGCTGGGAACTCAGCCAAGAAAGATGGGTGGCCCACAAAAGTGGCTATCTCTTTGAGAGTGACAGCCAAACAACAGTGATATTGTTAGAAACACTGATAGCCCAGTGGATACACTGGCATACATTTCTTCAGCTACAGTAGTTGTGAAAGTAGTAAAGTATCTGTACAAATTAATGAAGACCTGCTGTTTTAAGCTCCTCTGGTACCATCCCTTTTTTATTTATGGCCAGCTCAGCCTGCTCCGGGGGTGGGACTGTCACAATATCTGGTGCCGGAGATCGAACTGTGCCTAAGCTTGTACTTTAGAAGGCTGAGCTATCTCGCCAGCCCTCCTCTGGTACCTTCTTGTGCCCATAGAGGCTTTGCTTCTTCCCTAGGATTCCCCCAACATCTCCTCAGTACAGCAGAATGACTGAACTAATACCTGCTCCCTCCTCATAGGAGGAAAGATACTCCAAAAGTCTCCCCCAGCTCTTCAGACCTCAGAGTGGCAGACGGTGCCTTTGGCATCATGGCCCTTCAGGAGGGACACTTTCCAGTGGTTCCCCCATCGCTGCTATATACTAAGTCCCAGATTACCCAGAGCTTGCAACAAGAAGACTAAGAGGTCATCTCCTCTAATGCGTTCATTTCACCAAGGAGATCGAGTCCCAAGCCAGTCACTTACCTCCTTTGTGACCACAAACAAAACTCCTACTTCATACTTCTTTTATGCCAATCTGCCTTTGTCACTTTCCTTAACTGTGAAGTGAGGATTAATATTTTTATGCTTCAAAAAATTGTTAGTAAAAAAAGATGCCAAACATTTTATGTATGTCTTAAAATTTTTTTTAAAAAAAACCCCTAGCTTTTGTACATATTCTTTTTTTTTTTTTTTTTTGCGGAACTGGGAATTGAGCTCAGGCCCTTGCGCTTGCCAGACAAGCGCTTATTCTACTGAGCCATCTCTCCGGCCCCTAATCTCCACAGGAACCCAGAGGAGGTGTCAGGTTGGCAGGCTGTGTGTATCCTGACCAACACGACAAAACTAAGGTGACTAGAGGCATCTACACTCTTATAGCTGGAAGAATAGAAAACACAAAACTATGAACTCTTAAAAATGTAAGCTAACATAACCATGTGGTATTACTAGTTTTTAGCCTGTGGCATTTTGCAGTTCAGGATTTAGCAACATCAAAAATAATAACTTTATTCAAGTGATGCGTTTTATTATTTTTTTCACTTTGATTATGTGCCAGTTGCACAGACTTTGGTTCAGCATTGAAACAGAAGTGGGCTGCTTTGAAGTATATTTTTAAAATGAGAGAATCCAAATTTGTAATTAGCTTTACAAATGCTAGTTGTACAGTTTAAGTATCTAAAGAGCTTCTGGTAAGCGTTTCTGTTATTAGCGGTGATTTGCTTTTTGTATTTTCCCCTAGGCAATTAGACCCTTTGAAAAATACAAAGTATGCTCCTTGAGGGATCATTTCCTCTATTACCACTTTATTTTTCACACCCCGTATTCCTGGTATGCTTAGAAAATTAACCATGTATCTGATTGTAGCAAAAGAAAATCATCTATAGCCCATTCCACCCACTTTGACGCCTAATTATCTAGCAAATGCTACTTAAATTATGAAGAAAAGCCACAGGAAAGGAAATAGTTCACTTCTTGATGTCGCTTTGGGTTTTTTTTTTTATCATTTTAATAGAAACAACTTGAGGCTGGGGAGATAACTTGGTGGCACAAGTACCTGCCTGGCAAGTGCAAGGTCCTGAGTTGGATTCCTGGTACCAACAAAACAAACAAAAACAAATTTTACCTTTAGGTGAGATTTTTGGAAACAGTTGATTTCACTCATAAAATTTTTGAAAAGTTATTTGAGTTCCTACCCTCCAAACCTTAGCCATTTTGCGGTACTACTGGTTGCAGAAGTTGAATTTATAGATTTACAGAATGAGGTTATTTCATTCCAGTATCACAGCAATATCTTTTTTCAGTGTTCTTTTATTAGCATATGAAAAGTCTGGCAGTCTCTACACCAATTATCCTGTAAGGTTAAATTCATATACAGGGAAAAAGAAAGAAAAATTATTAGAAAGAGCCATAAACAGAAAGGAAAAGAAGTCCTGCTTTGGAAATACTAATTTGTAATCACATTTGGGGAAATATGTATTACATGTTTGATTTTTTTTTAAGTGTGTGTTGTATGTTTCGATCCCTGGTGCCACATGCCATGCCGGCCCTTTTCCTGGGCACGTTGAGCCGGCCACCGAGTCCAGGCATGGTTGCACACCCTTGTGATCCCAGCACTGGGGAGGCTGAAAACAGGAGGATCACTGCAAGTCCAAGCTGCGTAGTGAGACCCGGCAACAACCAAATACATAAAAAGTGCATATTGTATGTAAATCTTCATATCTTCCTCCATGTACACCCTGATTTGTGTTGCATCAGAGTTACTTCTCTTCTGTGCCCTAAGAAATACAAGTCTCCTTCCTGCCAGTAGAGGACCTTTAGAGGGTTTACTGTTATCTCAAATTTTCTTGGACTTTACGTCATTATCCCTGCTTTCTGTGGATAAGGTAGATGGTGCTGACAGGCAGGTGGAAATGTGATGCTTGTGGTTTATACCCCGACTTAGAGTTGTCTTGTGGATGAGATGCCACACTCAAACAGATCGATGATATTCCAAGCTCAAATTCCTCCAAACACTGGGCCATAAAAGGATGGATGAGTGGGTACACACCCACTTTACCAGACACCAATTTTTATACCAGTAAGAGCACACCACAGCATATGGAGGGTTAGCCATTGTTAGTAGTATGTCCCAGTTGCACTCCTAGTTGATTTTTGTCTTTACATCTTTTCTACTGTCTGCTACCATGTTGAGGAATAGCAAAATCTCAAGGAAAAAGGAAAATACTGAAAGGAATGGCAGCACAAGACATCAGTATTTCAGCCCACACATAGCATGTGAATTATTTCCAAATTCCCCAACCACTTCCACATTAAGACCCCATTGATGAATAGCAGGTGTCTCGTTGTCGATATCTGACTCAGCCTGGCCTCGTGAGGGCTTTTTGATGGTACACTTACATTAATTCCATTTCTCTTACATGAAAATACATTAGGCTACTATATTCTGTGTAAGGAAAAGTAAACTAAATGATCCTTCTTGTACCTGGTTGTTCATCACTGATTGGAACTTTGTGAGGAGTATGAGCTGCGAGTAGAGCTTTCTGCTCCTATCCTAGAGTTGGTAATTAGCAAATCACCCCAGTCCTCATGCTGCAGAGAAAATTATGAATTGGTGGGGCTCTTTAGGAAGTCATCAAGATGCTTGAAGTTCATACCATTTGGCTCTGTAATTCTTTTTTTATCTAAGAAAGTGTTCAGAAATTCTGACTCTTGATAATCTGATGCGTTTCTCAAAATGTTTATTTGCAATACCAAGAGAATTCTGTAATTCCAAAAAATGAAGACAATGAAATAAAATGCATTCTTGTACAGTAGTATATAGACATTATAATCAGGTTTCTGAATAATTTTAATAACTTGGGGAAAGGCTCACATTCAGATAACACATTTTACTTCAGAATTAAATTAAAAAAAAAGTAGAGCCAAAACTCTTGAGTGTGCCTGTATATCTGAAAGAAATACCTGCCAGAAATCCCTGAATTCCAATTCTAAATACAAATTGTTTTAGGTTTTGTTTTATTTTTGTAACTTCTTTGGGTGGAAGATCTGGCCTGATAGAGTTTGGGAAAGGTTGTAGGTTCCACCCCCAGCCCTGCAAAAACAAAGAGGGGATAAAAGAACAAGAAAAACCTGACCTGCATGTATAAAGGGCTCTAATTTGCCACACACAGTGCAAACCTCGGTTTTTGCACAGTAATATACAATGTGTTTGAATACAGTTGCTATTCTGGACTGTCTTAGGGTGACAGATAATTAATAATTTTACTGCACTAATCTCTACAGTCCAAAAAAGCCTGACTTATTGCCCCCAGGACTTCCAGTGAAGGGGTAATGAGCCCCTTTGTTAGTGATTTATCAGCTTCACCATTGCTTTTTCTTTGTGCCTTTTCGTATTTTCTACATGTTTTACAATAAGCATGCATTCATTCATGAGCAGAAAAAAATGTTACTAATTTTAAACACATTTGAGGCATCAAAGAATCACTTCAATTCAGTCAAGATTCACAAACTAATCACTTCTTTCCTGAGTTTCTCCTAGTTAGAACAGCTACATGTGTCTCTTAAACGTGACAGAATTCGTGAGATGAAATCCAGAAGTAGATACGTGGTTGGATATTGACCTGTCTCCAGGCTCTTTCTGTGAGCCTCCTTACAGGAAATACCTCAAAGCATAGGGCTTCCACCTGGCTGGAGCCAAGCATCAATGTCTTGGGCTGTTTTGTCATATTCTGCTTGTGTGTGTTGGTCAAGACAGAGAACGTTAATGGAAAGGTCATAGAGAGCACAACATTATGTTGTGAGATTGGTATGGGAGGTACTCATGTGGGAAATTTATTCTATTAATGCACAACTTTTCCTCTCCAATTAGGTGGACAATTACTGACCAACCACAAGATTGCCCTGCAAAACTTTGGGGTCCATGTCTGAATGGATTGCTGTAGCCTTCTCATCTCTCCCTTTGCCCAGTACCCTGCGTCCTAAGACTCGAAGCCGGGACAGGACCTGGAAAAATTATATGTAAGTTTTAACGAGGGTTGCTTTTCCTTAATGAAACAATGACACATATTTTTTAGGGGCAGTAGCCTAAGCACAGGCTAATTACTTTTCTTTAAATGGAGTTTGTTGAGAGTCAGAATTGAGCAAAGGAGCAAGCGTTAGAATCTGCATATCGGCGGTTCCCTAACTAACTGGTTCTTAACTGTAGCTTTCCTCAGAATCACCTGGCAAGCTTGTTAAGGTACAGATTGCTGGGCCTTACACTCAGAATTTCTGATTCAATAGATCTGGATTGTGTGGGCCAGAAATTTGCTTTGCTAACAAGTTGCCAAGTGATGCCGGTGTAGCTTCCAGGACTCCTCACTGTGAGAATGACTGCTTTATGTGTGAAGGAAAGGCTGAATGGTGAAGGTAGAAAACTGCATACTTCTACATTAAATATTAAATTAAGAGGTGGTATGCTTGACACATCTCAGGAAAGAGAAAATTAGAGTCTTCTCAGCACCTCCACGTTTGAAAGTAGAGAAATGCCATTACTCCATGTCATCTTTCCTACTACTGCTATCAGTCATTCTTGGCCCCTGATTTTCAGAAGGTGTCATTAAAAGTGTTGTGATTAACCTTAAAAACAACAGTTCCAGTTCTCCTACTGGTGTGTGTATCATGCTTTCAGATTTGCTCAAAAAGGAAATTTTGCCCCCTGCCCCGGGAGGGGGGAGGGTACATATTGTGACCATTCAAGGTGAGTCGTCATAGGATTATCCTCCTCTCATGCAAGTAACAGTGATTTGATTTACAAAACACATGTGATGGGGGCACACCTCCAATAAGCATCCCAAACCATGAAGTCCAGAGGCTTGGGGGTGATTTTGAAGATCAGATTATACTGTTAGTTTTCACAGAACCAATTCCCTCTTCCTAGGACAAAAGCAACTTCCTTCATGTTAACAGAAAGAAGTATAAGAGTTCAGGTAAACAAATGCATACCTGGGTACATATGACCACACATACAAATATATGCATATGCCTGAGAATAGGAACATATTTCGATCTTTTGGGTTTTCATTGTAGGAGTTTCAAACACTTTCTTTTGTTTTATTGAATCAGGATGAGTGTAAAAATGGTGTCATACTGTCCAAGAAATGTTTGAGAAATTGCTAAGTATTTTAAACCTGTGAAAACAACACTGTGTTTTGGAATATTTTATTTGAATATATTCATAATCATTGCATATAGTAATAATGATAGCAATAATCATTGCTAATAAAGCAGTAGCTGAGAAACTATGTAAAGAAGAACCGTGGTCATTGCCTAAACATTAATAGATCCAAACATCTTGAAGATAGATTTTTAAATGCATGTGTGTAAAATAAAACTCACAAGATCAGAAAAATAAGGCAAGAAGTAATAAGTGATAAAAGAGTTCTAAAGTGAAATCAATCCAGAGCTGTCTTCTGGAGCTGCCCAAAGAACAACTGGGCTGCTATTCAAGCTGACAGAGTTGTGAGTGATGTAATTATCTATTATTACTCCACCCTCGCAAACACTACCGTCTCTGTCAAGCACTATTCCACGCAGCACTCTTGGAAGGAAAGTTATTGGTTTGTGAAGCATCTTCATGGAGTAAAAGAAAGGGCTCAGATGGAACGCTCCTTATGTTCATTCCCTCATGCTTTGAAATCTGTGGATCTCTGTACTTATACATCAGGCTTTCTTATAGGGTCACCTGTATTCTCAGTCAGTTTTGTGTCTATAGAGTTGAAAGAAGGTTCCTGTGACTGCTCAGGTGAATCAAGCTTCAGTTTCTGAATGGACGGAAGAGGGCCTGGCTGTATCACACCCATGGCATTGGAGAGAGGGCTGTGTCACCAAAGGCCTAGAATAGTGATGGTGAACCTTTACACCTCTCAGTGATCACAGGCTGCCCGCTGCAGCGTGCGTGCCATAGATTCACACCAGTAGCCTAGAGTGTCTCTGGTAAATGGTGTACTGCAGGGAGTATATGAAAAACTTCCTCACTTTCTACTTAGTTTTACTGTAAACCTTAAACTGCTCTTAAAAGTTTATTGATTTAAAATATTGAATACCAAGCAGTGTGGTGATTCTTACTGAACAGAATGACCATGTGATCCGACAATTCCACTTCTGAATATATGCTCAAGTGAAAGTATGGATGTATATTTTCACATCCATGTTCATAACAGCATTATTCAGGCCATCCTTCTGTAGGCAGAAGGTGGAAGTAGCCCAAGTGCATGTTATCCCATCATTGATGGGACACATATAGCCACCTGTGCTCCTGTCACAGGGATGCTCCAGTTGCTCTAGTGTGGTCCTCATAGCAAGCCCGTGTCCACAAAGTTAGGTGGATGCTGTCATGGAGCTGTGAACCTGACTGCAGCTGTGGTAGGTCTTGCTCAGTGGAGGTGGATGTGTAGGACGGAAGTAGGGAATGCTAGGTTATCAAAGTGCATAGCAGCAGAAAAGGAAAGATTTGGGTCGAAACTCAGAGCAGCTTGTTTTCCCACCATGGGGCTTCCCATTATTATAATTTCTCTGTACCTTCTCCAAGTCCAAGTTATCCTCCATCTGTACTATTGAAGGAGGCAGGTCTTATTTTACCCATCAGTCACAGAGTAAGCCAGTAAGTGAGCTGTAGTCCCATGGGTAGCATGCAGGATGGAATCCAGTGCATAAGTTTCTCTCTTTCTTTCTTTCTTTCTTTCTTTCTTTCTTTCTTTCTTTCTTTCTTTCTTTCTTTCTTTCTTTTCAGAACTAGGGATTGAACTCAGGCTCTTGTGCTTGCCAGGGAAGCACTTATTCTACTGAGCCATCTCCCTGGCCCCCCTGTGTAAGTTTCTTGGGCCCTACTTTTCTTGCTTTTGTTTTTTATTCTGGGTCTGGAAAACTGCCTTGAAAACAACCAGCTGATTCTCAAAAGGCCAAGCAGACATGTTTCTTTTGGGTCTCCTTCACTACCTTCAGGCCCCCTTCCTGTGGCTGATCAGCGATAGAGTTCCTGACAAGTATTACATAGGGGTCGATTTTAAAAGCCCCCAAAGCCTTCTCCTCAATCATCTCCCTTTCTTACAATACCAAGATTATATATGTGTACACACACACACACACACACACACACACACACACGCACACTCATGCCTATGTCAGTTTGGCTTAAAGACATAGTATAAGGCAGAATGCAGTTGCAATGACATTGTAAAAGTTAAACAAAAATACATATTAGTCTCCTCGTTCTTAGATCAGACTTTCCAGTCTTACTTAAAAACAGACTATGCTTTTCACATAGATGTGGGTGCAGCAAAAGTTCTGAGTCAGTTACTGTGATATCAAAGACTGGACTGGACCGGGGAGATAGCTCAGGGGCATAAGTTTCTACCTGACAAGTACAAGGTCAGGAATTCGATCCCCGGTGCTGCTGAAAGAAACAAATACCCAAAATTTCAAAACAAGATAATAGGAAACTAACAATGATTAGTATATTGCATATTGTTATCTTCAAATTAGTTATTCAGAATACAAGATATAGGCATTTCATTGTGTAAACAATATTAGCACAAACCTTTCTTTTCAATGAAGTAAGAGAAATTAGTGGTATAACTATCTTAGCATATTGTCTTTCCCTTTCTTCTCTTCTCCTTTCCTCTATCCCAGTTTCTCTTTCCTGTTGAACAGTTTCTTCCTATTGCATGACATCTGTTGGACATTTTGGATCTTATTTACTCTTTCAGCTTCTCACACTAGGGAGACAATACGATGTTTACACGTGTGCATCTGATTTATGTCATGTGAGAATGATCTCCAGTTGCATCATTTACCTGTAAAAGTCTCAAGCGTGTCTTTCTTTATAGCTGAGTCATATTCCATTGTATAAAAAACTTCTTTTTGTATCCATTCCTCATTTGATGGGCATTTGGGTTATTTCCAAGATCTCGCTATTACAAATTGTGCTGCCATAATTATGGGGGTACATATATCACTGTGGTACAGTTTTTAGTTCTTCTGGGAAGATATCCAAAAAGGGAATAGCTGGGTCAAATGGAAGCTCTAATCCTATTTTTTTAAAGACCCTCTACACTAATTTCCACACTGTTTGCACCAGTCTGCACTCATACTAACAGTGGAAAAGGATTCCTTTTTCCCCCGCAGCCCTTCCAGAATTTATTATTGGTTCATTTCTTGATGATAGCTATCCTTTCTCAGGTGAGATGGAGTCTCAGTGTTATTTTAATTTACATCTCTCAAATGACCAATTGATGTCGAACTCATGTATTTATTTGCTGTTTGTGTTTCTTCACCTGAGGATTGTATGTTCATCTCAGATGCCCATTTTTGGATAGGATATTTTTTTTAAATTTTATGTACAGAGTCTCATTATGGAGGTCATACTCATAATGATCTTCCTGTTTCAGCCTCCCCATCAGTGGGATTACAGGTGTGCACCACCATGCCTGGTTTCATTGGCAGGCTTGGTTTGACCAAAGTTGGGGCTGGCATAGCATGTGGTGCCAGGACCAAACCGGGTCCCTACGCTTGCCGGGCAGGTGCTTAGACCACTGAGCTATTTACCCAGTCCTACATAGGGCATTTAAACTTAAGAAGACTGATTTTTTTTTTTTTTTAGTTCTTTATATGTTCTTGATAGTAATCTTTTGTCTGAGGAACAACTTGAAAACATTGTTTCCTAAGTTGTGAGTTGTTTCTTTACTCTGTTGGTGGTTTCTCTTAATGTGCAAAAGCTTTTTAATAAGATGAGATCCCAGTTGTTGATTCTTTGTGAAAGTTTCTGTGTGATCAGGATTTTATTCATAAAGTCTTTGCCTATACCAGTGTCTTTGAGGGGTTTCCCTATTCTGATTTCTAGCAGATTTAATATTCCTGTTTTAACACTTAGAGCTTTTGATCCATTTCAAATTTAGTTTAGTGCATGCAAAAGATAGAGATCCAATTTTAATCTTACCATGTGCAAAGCCAGTTTTTCTAGCACCTTTTATTAAAGAGAC